TCTTCGGCTTTGAAATGGAGATGAGCACCACCCCCTAGAGTCAGGGACAACTAGCACAAATGTGCAAGGGGAATCTTTACCTTTAAAATGGAATGGTTGTTGTGTGTTCTTTGTATTTTAGCTTGTTCCTCAGCTATTCCTTTCCCTTTAAGTGATTAGAATTTTTTTTTCTATCAGCAGCTGCATTCCTGGTTTCCCTTCCCTGTGAACTTTTCATTCTCCTTTCTTCTCTCCTTTCTTATAATCCTCTGCCTAGAAGTACCCCCCCCCAATCTTGTTCTCCTCTTTAACCCAATAATCTACTCCTCTGGGGTCTCATCACTGTTCTCTTTGGCACTTCTCATTAAATGTTTCTTCATTCTTCAGAAAGGGATTACAAGAGAGTAAGCAGGCACAGTGGGAAATATATATTGACAGGAATGCAGTGGTGCTAGCAGTTCCAAGCCCACTGGCAAACAATTGATTGTTCTCCATTGTGTGCCTACTTAGTCTCTGTAATTCCTTACTCTCTAAACTGTCTAGTCTTTTAAGAGGGTGGGAAATGGGCCAGTCACAGAATAACATGTAGTTCAAATCTCACCAGGCTCAAGGTTGACTCAGCCTTCCATTCTTCTGAGGTGGGTAAAAGGAGGACCCAAATTGTTGGGTGCAATATGCTGACTCTTTAAACCACTTAGGGAGGGCCGTAAAGCACTGTGAAGTGGTATATAAATCTAAGTGCTATTACTATTTAGAAATAATAAATTGCCCATCACAGTAGTTCAAATCCACCTTTCCTGAAATCTTAGAAGTCTTGACACTGTAATGTTCCATATAGAAGAAAATTAGACCACAATAAAATCCACAACTTAAGTTTATTGAGTCCTGCAAGATTTTATTTCATTCTACATTTTTTTTAAATAACACAAACACAAATGTGGATAGGATGGCAACATTCCACAATATAGATCAGTATCCAGCTCACCTGCCAGCAACAATGACCAGCATGTAGCCTGGCAAAAGGTTTGCCCTCCTGAGAGACGGTTAGGGAGCCAGTCACAAAATAAGATTAAAAATGGGCGGCAAATTAATGCACTTTCCAAAAGCAAGCAGTAGTAGAAACAGTTACACCAAAAAGCAATCATGCAGGAATAGAACACAGTATTATTATTATTTTTTCAAAAATGACATTTCTGAATTTGTTGTTTTTCCACAAGTTCTAACCTTATCGAAAATACAGGCAACACAGAAGAGATAAAATATTTTTCATTGTGTTATTTCCAAAATGCGTGTTAGGTTTAAAAATACAAATGGACTCTTCATATTAAGAAGGTGAAATTGATCTTTTTGGACTGTTTCCCCCAACTTTTTTCTATAGTAAATAGTTTTTTTAAAAATGACATTGTACAGGACTCAGTCTGGTGTGATAATTGTTGGATTGCATTTAAATTGACTATTAAACTAATTCTAGAAAGCTGTAATCCTGACAATTTAACAATGGGTGCAATGTGATGGCTTTTTGTTTTCACAAAAAGGATTCTCTTGCCACTCCATGAAATGTAGAATTGAACAGTAGCCCTCGATGTGACTCCAAACTGTATAGTCATCATAGTTTATTTATTTATAAATGAAATGAAATGATTTCACTCTTCACTTTTGCCCAAGCACACTTTTCAAGCCCAATGGCCAAGAGGTGCCTTGAGTCATGACAAGAAAAAGGCAATAAAAGTACCTTTGGCCCTTAAACTATAAATAGCCAAATCAACATTTTTTCCTGATGATCCAATAACTTCATTGGAACTGCGCTATGACAATTCCTTAACAGTCTACTTATTGAAAATGCACTCAGAACCATTAAAATAAATGTTTTTGTAATAATCTGGAAGTTAATCATTCTGCATAAATAAAACAATGAAACATTGTAATAAAACAGGTAATAACATTTCACTACCACACTATGATCACAGCCAATTGATGATCACACTAGCTTTTCAAGTTCTAAACTGCTTAGGCAGTTGAAGGGTTCAGCTATCATTGATAGACTTTCCCCCCCTCAACTATAAAAAAACCTGATACCTTTTACAAAGGATGTTACACAGAAACTGTCACCCAATTTCTTCTCTTTCAAGAGATAAGCAGTCACTATGAAGGAATCCTCCATTATACGTGTCTACAGCAAATTGAGAACAATACTAAAAATAAATTTTTTTAAAAAATTAGGTGAATGAGAAAATAGGCCTGATTGCAATAATCTTGTGGGGAAATCAGAAATGGGTTTATTTTGTCACATGCAAACACCTATTTCTTGAAAGAGAATGTGGAGTTATGAGGTGTGTGGGTTTTTTTTCCTTTGAAGAAGCTACTGTGGATCAAAGAGTTTTTTCCAAATGAAAGGAAACTGAAGAATGCTATGCAAGTTTCCTGACCTAGGCAAACAGATCTTTGTTTTTTCAGACATAGTAGTCTGCATTCCTACTTATTTCTAGTAACAGAGTACTAAATTCCCAGTAATTCCTATATATTTTACTATATCTCTTCAAGGATGCATCATTGAGATGATGATGGATCCCTTTAAGGCAGTGGTTCCCAAACTTGGCAACTTTAAGACTTGTGGACTTCAACTCCCAGAATTATCTCCCAGCAGAGCTGGCTGGAGAATTCTGGGAGTTGAAGTCCACAAGTCTTAAAGTTGCCAAGTTTGGGAACCACTGCTTTAAGGTTACGGTTGAATAGACTTAGCAACTGGCAAGGCAGGCATCACCCATTTCCTGACCAGGAATTTTCTCCGATTGCCTTCCACTTCATGATTCAACTGTTCCCTTCCCAATAAGATGTACTGAGTAGCCATGGAGCAAACATCTTTTTCTGTTCTTGAGATTTGAGACATGAATGCTGTAACATAGAATAGAAATAAGCATGCTTGGGCTGCTACTCTTTCAGGTGATTTCTAGAAGGTTAGGTATCGTAGTCTGCGGCAGCCAAAAAGGAACAAAAATATATTATAGTCAACTGTCGTCTAGGAGAGTCAAGCTATAATCCCTATCAATTTTTAAGATGCTACCAGACGCTTTCCATGTTTTTTTAAAAATAAATACTATGGTCTTTTGATTTGTAAAGTCTCACTTGGATGCCTATAAAATTCTCCTGATTCCAAGTGTATATAGCCACAATTTTCCTTCCAATGATGAGCTCTTTACACAAGAAAGGGGAGGGGGGAAATCACTCACTAGCATAAATGAAAGCAATTAGTTTTTAAGTCTATTTTGCACAAGTCAAATTTAAGCTGACCGTTTTTTCCTGAAATATTTTATACAAGAAAAACACATCATAAAGTCTCCATGTATAAAACTATGTGATCAAAGACGAACATTCAAGGGAATATTTAAGAAGAAAAGGAATCATCATAGAGTGCCTTAAAATTCAGACATCAAATGCAGACAGGAGAGCTTTGTTTCCTGTAAACAATTGCTATTTTGTTAGATATTGTATTGCTTTATACATACTGTGTTGTTGAAAAAATACTCTCAGTTGGATTTGGACTTAGTCTGCACTATTCCTAAATATACTAGCCTTATTCTGTGGCTCTTATTTTGGGGAAGTGACTTCCATGTCTCCAGAAAATACAAGGAAATATTGTATCAGACATCCTGTTTAAAGCCATAATAGCCAAAACCGAACCAAAAAGTTTTAATTGGAATGAAAAAGAAGTATCAAAATGGAATCCGGAGGAAAGTATGGACACATGGAAGAACAAATGCAGTCTCCATATTCAAAACATTGCTAGAGACTACAGAGAAATGAGCAATTAACTTCAAAGGACTGAATTGCATTCATTCATTGCATATTTTGATGAAAACAATGTTTTTGTCTAAGTGCATTTGCTACTAAATTTATTCATTAGAGGTTCTTTTCTTTGAAAAAGTGACATTCGAAGAAAGTGTGTGCTTCATAATCTCTCTCTGTAAAACCCATAGCTTCAATGCAGGAATTTATCTCTAGCAAAGTGACATTTGGGACCACATTTTATATCTGTATTTGTAATCTCAATACAGTACATCATGATAGCAACCTATGTCCTGACCTCGTGCTGAAAATACAGATCTATGAATCTTATCTTAAATATTTTCATAGTGCATCCAAGATTCATGCTATATGACACTGCATATGTATAGCAACTGGAGTATCCCATCTAACACATTATTTATTTTGCTGGCATTTCAAATCTCAAGACTGAGTTGTAAGTTTACAGTTCAAAGCACACTTTCTTACGAGTTCCAAAACAACAGTGATTAGGTCTAAAATTCAGTTGTACAATCTTAGCCCCCATTTATATAACAAATGTGAAATTTTCACCACAACCAAATGCCCGTTTACATGTCATTTTCAGTGGCCACTGAAAATGCTTCCCGTGTAACAGTTAAGAGCCAGTTGGACATGGCTTTCTATGTCTCTTCAACAGCTAGTTAGTCATCAAGCCCATCTTAACAATCGCCAGAGTTCAGTTTTTGTCACATGCAATATGTGACTAGTGGAAGATCAGTTGAAAAATATTAAAATGAAAATGAAATTTGATTAGATGATTTCTTGGCATACTTGCTCTTAGCTTGCCATCAACATTTCCCAAAGTTTGTAGCGGGCAGGAGCTGGTGAGGCTGGTTGGCTATTTTGCAAAACAGTTTTAAGTGATAATAAAAATAATTCCCAGAGCTACCCCACGCAGGAACTATTTTTTAAGAACACTACAGGTAGGTGCACAACGGCTACCACTTCTGTTTGGGAGCTCTAAAAAGGCAAAGTGATAGAACTGCTGTTGCTTGGCTTGAACAATGTGGATAAAATCCAGGCAATTTTATGGCAAGTGGGAGGCTTCGATTTGGCAATGAGCCAGGCCAAAGAAGCCAATAATAGTCTGTAAGCAAAATGATGAGGCACACCATCAAATGCTCTGCACTGACACAATGAATTTGGCTCCTGACAAGTGTGCAGTTCTGGTTTGCATCTTGGCTTGCTTGTGTTGCTCATCTGCAACCTGCCAGTGAGGATCCTTCGTAAAGTTCCTTTCCACCGAACCAGAAAATGTAACTAAAGTGCAAATAGACTCAGGTTCCTCAATTGTTTCAAATGTTTAGTATTTTTATTACTAGTATTGCCATCTTCAACTTGATATCATATGAGACTTGGTGATATTCTTCATTCGGGTGGTATTCTTCAATTCAAAGGCAAGAAGAGAAGAGGGATGCTTATGCCAAATAGAAGAGATTGGAAGCTGTCATGAGTACCATCGTGGTAATATGCAAACATTAGGTAATGTCAAAAATAGTGCATTGAAGAATATCCGATAATCATAAAAAAACAGACCATGTAATCTTTGGATCTTATTGCTTGCAAATAGTCTGAAAATTATCATTACACAAAAATTGTATCAAGTCATTTGTTATTCAGTCTTCACCGAGAACTGCTTCTGTCTTTCCTGCATCTGTAATGAATAATTGAAGAGATGGTTAAATAGCCACACAACAATGAAATAAACAAATTCATGCACAACCCCTGCACAAAGTTAATCAGCATGAACATTTCATATGCTCTTTGATCATTTTTCTATTTTTTGTTGTGGAATAGTACACATAAAATTATAAAAACAATATAGTGGAAACATGAAACTTTAACACACACAAAAAAAACCCTTCTATCAGGAAAAATAAATCTAACTGTAAGTAAAGCTTAGAATGTGCATTTAATTCCACTTCCAAATTTTCTTCAGAATGCTTGAGCAAAGAGAATTTTTAATTTAAGACTGAAAAGAGTCAGTTCTATCATCTTTGAGAAGATACCCTTCTGTTCAGTGACATCACAGAAAGGATTTATTTTTGTACACATGTAGCATTTCTCTGAACAAAGATACGTAGAGAAGAATTTCCTGTGAAGTTCTTAGTAAAGGAAGAATGGTATGAAAGGCATTCTCTGAGATATTGAATTGATTGTTGTCACCAGGGGCCTGGGGTTATTACTATTTATTATTTTTATACTGGTTTTTTAAAATCTTTGTAAGCCACCAGGAATCACTGAGCTGGGTAGCTACATACATTTTTTTAAATAAAATAAATAAATATTTGAGTCCCAGTCATTTAGGCCTGACACAGGCATAGAACAGCCTACAGAAACTTGTTTCCATGTGTAGCTTGAATTTCTGGACTGGGCAAGGTGTTTTCTATGTAATTAATTCTGTGACATCAGAACACAGTAGAATGTGTTCTTGGAATTCACGAGAGTTAAAAATAAATTCTCATACCAACTAAATTCCTGAATTTCTTTTTGGCTTCTGCTCTTTCCTCTGCATCGAAATACCATACAGTCATTGCATACCTACAAAGAGAGAAAAATCCATGATCCATTACATTGAGGTTTCTTTATATCTTTGGAAACTCGCAGAGCATACAATTTATTATGTTGCAATAGTTTCAAATATGAAGACAGTCAGATAGTTACTAAATTATTTTCTTCATTTTGGCACCTTCAGCTGTGCTGGAAAGGCAACTTCCGTTAGTTCCAACCAGTAATGCAAGCCTAACCAAACTAGAGGGCATTAGTTTGGGAGAAACTGTTATGAAATTTGTACATTCTCCTAAAATTCCATGTCTTGCTTATGGTACATGTTTATTATGAAAAGGGACATCAGCAGAAAGAAGCACATGGGCAAAGATCTTAATACATTCTCTACCCAGGGTATGAACAATGACTGAGAAAATATCAGCAGTACAGATGCAGTAATGCTGGAGGTTGTGGGTGCTTGTGACAAAGAGAAAAAATGTCTGAATTCCAAGAAAGGCATTACTTGCAATTTGCTAATATGGATCAAAACATACCTATCAAAATTTTTACCAAGTTTACCTGAATTGATGGGGGAAATAATCTCTCAAATGGTTTGTGTGTGCATGCACATGTGTATAGGTAGGTCCTTTAAACGAGGCTGAATATCTGGCACACAGAACTAGAGGGCAGAAACGCCTATTGAGCCAAGAAATTAACATTAATTTGCATAACTGCATACTTCTTTCTTTCTGTTCAGTCATGTCTGATTCTTGGAAATTGCCTGGGCAAGTCCCTGCAGCTTTCATGGCAAAGTTTTTTTGGAAGTGGTTTGCCATTGCCTTCTTCCTAGGGCTAAGAGAAAGTGCCTGGCTCAAATTCCCAATTCCTGGGCTGAAGCTTTAATCACTACATCAGACTGGCTCTTAACTGCATACTGTGTATACATACATAGTAAATACTATTCAGTAGATATTTAATACAGAGTTAAAAATGAAAAATGTGATTAATTCCTTTTAAATGAAGTGATTAGAAAAATGCAAGAATAAAAGAGCACACTTCCATACCAAAAGTGTTACTATATAATAGATGATTTTCTCCAATATAATTCCCAAAATTATATGACTTAACCAGAATATTGTTCCTGTCATCCAGCAAGTTTAAGAATTCATATTTCAGAAGTCTACTGGATTCACAGATCCTTCCTGAATCTGCTACCTGAAATCATTTTATTGACAATGCTGGAATTGTACATCTAGCTATATATGCAATCTCTCACTGAGCAAGAGTCTGCTGTCCTGTATAATTATCTTTAAAACCCACACCTAAGGTCTTTACCTTGTTGCATAGGAAGGCTGCACTTCATGTGGGTTTCTTCGGTCTGACCAGAAAAAAAGTAATCTGTCAAAGATGGGCTCAACATCAGCTACATAGGACCTGCCTTCGGGGAATATTCGTAGGATCCCCCCATGCAGCTTAAACAGAAAAAAAAAGAAAAACATTTTTGATTAGACAGGATAAGCAGATCTTAAAACAGCTTATTTTGTATATACGTGCATTAAAAAAAATAAGCCAGAGATTTACTGAGGACCCCACTGGACATGAATGGGGAAGATGAAGAACTCATCTGCTGATGGCAATAACAATAGCACTTAAGACTTATATGTACCGCTTCACAGTGCTTTACAACCCTAAGTGGTTTTCAGCATATTGGCCCCAACAATCTGGGTCCTCATTTTACTGACCTCAGAAGGATGGAAGGCTGAGTCAACCTTGAGATGCTCAGAATCGAAGTTCTGGTATGAGCACTGAGCTAGTCTGCAACCACTGCGCCACCATGGTTCATGATTAAAAATTTGCCACAGCCATAGAGGCTCCTTCCTCTCATCTTCGTTCAATGGAAGAACATAATTAACCCATAAGCCCAGGGCTGACCTAAGTATGTACCATTTGTGTTGCAGTTCCTGAAGGGTCTTTGGATATAATAGTTTAAACTCCTGCCACATTCTCTTTGTTCTACTATAAAGGTGGACATTTTGACTGATGTGCCTGGAGACATCTAGCACCAATTTAGGTGTACCTCTGCCAGCTGAGAAGCACAGCTTCCTAAACTCATCCTTCCGGAAAGGGGGCAGTTTCATCATTTGTGAAATATTAATGGGAATATTAATGGGTAATAAATGGGTTAGCTTGAAGCGCTGATCACTTCTTTCCGCTGATACTTATATTTATTGGAATCCCAATAAATATAAGTAAATGAATGTACTTTTTTTTAAAAAGGGAAATCATGTCTAAGGGCATGATCACTGTTAAACATAAAGCAAGTAAAAAGTAATATAGAGATAATACAATTCTTTAAAACTGCTTTTTTACTTAGCCAAATTAATTTGTTCTTTGTGTTTATTGAACAAATCTGAAAATGAATCAAGTATTAATGAGGTGGGTGGGAGGAAACAATACTCCTTTTCTCAAAGCTTTCTGGCCCTGATTTTGTCTGGTTTTCCACAACAAACCTGCTCCACTCTTTTTTTTAATTTTGACATACTTCTCGCTATTACATCCAGATGGAAAATTCCATCCCCAAGCTTAAGTGTTTTTTGTGTGTGTTTGTGCTTAAACATATGTTTAAACAAATATATATATATTTGTGCAAAAGGCAACAGTAATAATATTGGGTTTCTGTCTGGATGGTTTCTTGTGATGAGCCGATAGACAGAGAATGGAAGTAGTGAACTTCCTCCCATATTTGGGCATACCAGGGGTTGTGACTATATGTGTGTGTGTGTGTGTGTGTGTGTGTGTGTGTGTGTGTACGTGTACGTGTACATGTACATACATACATGCATACATACATACATACATACATACAGAATATGCAAAATATTTAAAGAAATAGAAAAAGAAAGTTGTACTAACACCAAAGAGGGATCTGGGAATTAGTATTTTGTTCTGTCTTTTCAGAAGTAGGCACCATATCTGACTTCATATAAAACTGTGTTCCAATTTATTTAAATGTAAACATTTAATTTGTTACAGCAATTAAAAATGTGCAGAATCCCTTGACAATTCTTCAAAGAACACTTTACTTAGCCATTTATCTTTTTTTAAATAAAAAGCTGTAAGATTCCTTATACCTTTTAGTGTTGGTGGAAAGCAGTATCCAAGGATGCTGCACAATCAACAAGTAATCATTGTTATTATCTTGTCTGTAATGTTGACTGAGAGAGAATGTCATATTTCAAGTCATAGTTTCAGTGGTTGAGGGGAATCTTAAACCTGGTATCGTTACCATGTTTATTTCAGATTATGCCAAAATTATTTTCGGCAAAATAACAAAATTTCAAATTTAACTGTCTCCCTTTTCTATTTAAAACTTTATCAGATCAAAATCGTGTTAAGTTTTGAGATGCCGATATTATGTTTGCTGCTATGATCAAACTCCTAGACTATTATTTTGCTCCTTTCTTTTTCTTAATCCAGAATGAAGGATGCCTCACTGAGTGTTTCTTTTTCTCTCCTGCTGTTCCAAAAATGTTTCTTTAACTTTCACATCATTTTATCCAAATGTATTTAAGAAAGTGGGGTTTCGGTCAAACCCAGGATCCTTAAAGCCTCTACTGTGGCTATGAGGTAGATTACTCTCTCCCAGCCGCTCAACTCATGAGTTGACCACAAGGATCTTAAAATCCTATGGACTTCTCCAGAGAAGTGCATGTGGACAATCTCTAGGTCATTCCTTATCTGGAGAGGCTCCATTGGCCTGGACTAGTTAACTGGCCACAGGCAGCACTGTAACAGAGTCTTCACTCCCTTGGAGATGTCTAGTGTGCCATAGCCTTCACCCAGAACCCCAGATCTAATAGAACACTACTGTAACGCAACTCTATGCATGCCATGTTGACAGTGAGGTTTGCAGCTAGATTGTTATTATAATCAATTTTACATCTTTCTTATCCAGGTGGCATCCGTGGTCTTTTATGACAAGTAAGCATTGGCTTACCACCAAATACATATTCATCAGAGGGCTGCAGTTAAAGAGTTCTTCCAGCATGGGTATTACATTGGCGTTAATGTACAGAGTTTTAAAACATAAATAATTTTCTTTACTATTTGGATGCCTCCATATGATAAGAATTGTTCCTATGTTGTCTATTCATTTTGGGGTATTTTTTAGAGGAAAGGATTGTTTTTATTTTCCACTCTGAGAAAAGTCTATGGATCTCAGTGTCATAATGAAAAATAATGCTCAAGTGTTCCTAGGCATCCACAAGAATTGGACATGGTTTGAAGTGGGCAATCTTTTAGATTCAGGGCTTTGAGTAGCTGAAAACCGAAGCTTTTGACAGTTAGCAAACCTTAAGGCAGAATGTCAACTTGCTTTTCTTTAAATATATCACAGCAAACAGCCTCTAAGCTCCCACACACATGTGTTAGCAAACACAAGGCATTTTATGAGGCCAAGGCATGGCAAACAGACAGAGAAGTTTTCATGATCTTATACTGTACGTAGGGCAAAATCAAACAAATATCCTTTTTCAAAGGCAGCTTTACATGGGACAAAAACAAACGACGGCCACAGCTGAACCTGCCAATCTTCAGTTCAACTACCTCAGTTGTCAGAATCCATTCATTCCTTTACAGGCACCCATTTGTTTTCATCAAACTAAATCCTTTGTTACCTGTATCTTTAAATAGTGACAGTCACGCCAACGGCTCAAAAATCCTAAGCTGCTCCCATCTTCAATAAGCTGTCTATCCAATTGAAATTAAAAAATAATGCAACCATGAAATGGATTTATCTTCACATCTCAGCTACCCAGAAGCAATGGCGGTATTGTATTCAGAAATTTCATGGTAGTTCATAAAAAATGGAAGAGCAAGAAAACAGCTATGTGGAGAAGCACTGTTTCTGGAGTAGGTTCCTTTTGAGTCTGCATCTCAACAACATGTGAGGAGTTACATACCTTTGAATCCCAGTTCTTGTTCAGGTAATAAATGCAGGTGATACATCGCCCATCTCCATTGGGATTGTCCACATGACGCACATAGCCAGTTCCATTCCCAGGATAGCAAGCTACCATAGCCTGGAAGGTGATATAAGAATAGAAAGAAAGATGCTTAGTATTTTTTTCCTAGTAGTTTGGCAATTTTAAATTTTTCTCTGTTAGCTTTTCAGATGCAAATCAAAATACAATTTTAAATTGTCTGTCTTAGAACTGAACAGTTGTAGGTGCTGTTAAGTTTAGTCAGTTATATTATATTCTTCAAAGTAATTCTTCTCCTACAGAACAGCTTTTAACAGTGCTTTTTTTTCTCCTAGGGAAGACATGATAGCAGTGTTCCAATATCTCAGGGATTGCCACAAAGAAGAGGGAGTCAAACTATTCTCCAAGGTACCTGAGGGTAGAACAAGAAGCAATGGGTGGAATCAAGGAAAGAAGAAACTTAGAACTGAGGAGAAATTTCCTGACAGTTAGAACAATTAATCAGTGGAACAGCTTGCCTCCAGAAGTTGTAAATGCCCCAACACTGGAAGTCTTTAAGAAGATGTTGGATAACCATTTGTCTGAAATGGTATAGGGTTTACTGCCTAGGCAGGGGGTTGGACTAGAAGACCTCCAAGGTCCTGTCCAACTCTGCTATTGTCTTATTATTGTATTAAGGAGGAATGCTCCAGTGAAGAGGATATTAAATCTTCTTTGCTCTGATTCCTTAGCAAATGCAGGTTGGAAGTTAGAAGCTGATGTTAACAATCAGTAAAGAAATTGTGGAGGCTCTGAATAATTTTTAAAATGCAGCTTTATTTTTGCTTTATTTTATTAACTTATTTGATCAATGTACATGGCTGCTTATCTGGCAGCTTAGCAACTGTTTAAGAATAGTTGTCCACCACAAGTCTGAAATGAAACAATTAAGATATGACATAAGGGCACATGTTGGAACATGATCTTAAGGTTCATTCCATTCCTACTGGACATAACTGAGAAATATATATAGTATATCTTCCCTCTACCACAAAACATGAGGCATCTTTACAAATGTGGTTTTGAATCTGAATGTTATCTTTCCTGAACATTTTTACATTTATTTCAGATTTAAATTATTTTGCAAAAAAGATTGTATCTCACTAAAGTGCCCTGCCTCAACTGGGTACCTTTGAAATGTCTTGGTATTACAAATACTGCAATTGTAACCCTAATCAGTTCCTACACTTTTGGAAATTAGTTGAACAGGGAAGCCAGTACCAGGAAACTTTGCTGATCAAGCTTAGTTAAAATGAATGGTAAACAGCAAACAATAAAGCTTTCATTTCACTGAACCAGTACAGGAAAACACGTGCTTTAAAGAAGTATCCTTAGGTTTGTAGAAAAGTGTGAATACCACTTTTTTCGGGTACCGTAATTCAGGCTTTCTCCTCTATATTCCAGTGGTGGGTTGCCAATTTTTTTACTACCCGTTCAGGTGCACTCCTTTATGCGCTTCCACTTGCGCCACTTCTGCGCATGCACAGAAGCATCTGGCCAGGTGGGCGGAGCCTCCCACTGCAGCTACTACCAGTTTGCCAGATCCGGGATGAACCGGCAGCAACCCATCTCTGCTATATTTCCATTAAATAAATATAATAAAATCCATTTTCCACCCCTCAGGATGTTTGTATCTAATGCCTTGATGAAAGTGAAACTTAAATATTGTGCACAATGTTTCATTTCTTGTCAATACTATGGACAAGAGGACCCCCCCTGTCAAGGCTTGAACCCCAGAATTAGCCGTACATGTTTCAGAAGTAATTTCTTCTTTTAATATTTTTATGCCTGCTCATAAAACCATCCTCATTTCGTGGAATTAATCAGAAGACAAAGATGAAGCTACCCTCCTTAAGAATCATAAGGGACTGCTACAGATTTGAGCAAAAGCATATTTAGTACTGGTTATGGAGGAAACGGGCTCTTCGCAGTACATACTCATTTATTCTGGTTTTTTAAGACAACTAGAACCATGTCAGAGGCCTAAGGCTGCCATTCCTGATTATAGTAATCACAACCATTACCATTTAATGGAACCCAAAGCTCTATGGCCTGAGGAGGCAGATTTTAGTAGTCACAGCAGCATATTCCTCAACTCATTTTTCTTTTAGAGACAAATGGCATTACAGCATAAAACCACAGTCTGATGACAAGGCTATGAAAAAAATATATATTTGGTGGGACAGTAAAAGAAATCATCACTCACAATGGCTCGGAATTACTAAAACTGAACTGCTACATCGCTGTAGGGCAACAAACTAGGGAAGATCTCGTTCTTCCTTCCCCCTTCCAAAGAAAATCCCAACAGAGTACTAGTTAGGTGTTTTAAAAAATATTTTGTTAATTACCACCAAAGACCATTTTACATCGCAAAGAAAGACAAAACAAAAAATTACTTCAGCAAATCATCTGTCATATCCATTTCAGAAACCTAAACTTAAAATTAAAGCGTGCCCTTTTTCATGGAAAGCAGAGAGAATTAACAGCTCTTAGAAGTTAAAAATGGAAAGAAAGATTACAAATCCAATTGTTCATCTGCTTCACATCTTTTTTTTTCCTCACAAGAACTCCAATCCACCATTTACCACATGCCCTTGTGCATTTTCCCAAATTAATAAATATTTGGCTCTGTAAATTTTTACTGATCCAAATATTTATTGAAGGACAAGGCTTCAAGTCATTTTTCTTCTATCCTCACCACCAACTATAAACATGTGTGCGGGTTAAGATTTGGATGCAATATGCAACTTGGGCAAAGGTTAAATCAGAAAGGTAACCTATAAATAAGAGCTACCTGCTTTAAGGCAGGGATTGGCCCTCCTAGAATATGTGAACTTTTGTTCTTTCTGAAAATGATGCATGCAATCTACCTGCCGCTTAGAAGGCTGAATGGAGCTGGTGTAGTATAATTATTAAAGCAGAAATAAGAAATCTAAAATCCTTCAGTGATCATTAGAATGAAGAAGCAGTGGGTGCAGCCGTCGGTGTTCCCCAATCCAAGGAGTAACGACCGTCATTTCTGTAATATAGATCAGGCCTTTGCACAAGCTCTTCAGGTCCCCACTGTGGATGCGCCTGTGGTGGCACTGGCAACCTCCTCGACCATAGTGTCGGGCGATGCTGCTGATAAGCTTAAGCCTGAGAGTAGGCGGGCAGAGCTTACCTTACGTAAGAATTTCCAAGCCTCTGCGTGGGCCATTAAGTGGGCAGCAGCGACTTCCTATTTCAATCGTGCCACGGTCCTATGGTTGCGCCAATTACTGGACCGTACCCTTCTGCAGGATATCACTAAGATCATGTCCGCAACCCAGTTCTCTGCTGATGCTATGCTTGACTCTGTCAAGTATGCATCTCGAGCCCTGTCACCATCAACAGCCAGTTTTCTACATGGAGGCCAGCCTCATCTGTGCTGGAATTATTCCAGCTCGAAGTTTGATAATCTTCTTTCTATAAGTCCTAGCAGATCCAGAAAAATTCTCTTCTTTAAACCTCCATCCAAATTTAAGGAGGTTTAAGGAAATTAATATTATTTCAGTACTCCTTTTTGCTCTCATTTTTACACTGAACTATACTTGGTGAAAGCATACATTTCATGTGTAGAACATTTTTATGTTCAGATGGGAAGTTTTTCTTCAAAGATTAGGAAACAGAGCATGAGTAAAGTCCTTAAGTAGCTCTTCAGGCTTTCAGATGCTTCAAATTTTCCCACTTCATAATGTCTGGGACTAAATTTCAGACTTAGAAAGGAATGTTGGTCCTTACCTGAATGATAGTTTTCTCTGTGTGATATGGGAGGGGCTACTCGTGAGTATTGGGAAGCACCAAGTTGGGAAACACCAAGTCCTGAGAGCAATGAAAGATGGAGTTCACCTTAGGTGGGAATGCTGGATCCACCCTGAGAATCACTCTGTCCGCATGGAAGGTGCACAGATCCTGTCACATGGAAAGAGCTGCCAACTGCGAGATCTGGTGGGCCGGTGATTGCCACCAAGACTTTCTGCAACATGAAGAGTAGGGAAGCGGCTCGCAGTGGCTCGAACAGAGCCTGGGTGAGTGCCTGAAGAACAAGAGGCAGGTCCCAAGAAGGTTAGCGATGCACGGTGAGTGGATGCAGGTTAGTAGTGCCTTTCAGGAACTGTCGAATGAGCGGTTCGGAGGTCAGAGATCTGTCAAGGCGACCTGGCAACTGAGGGTGTTGGGCGCCAACCTGGCCACCAACTGTTCTGCAGAAATTGAAGAATGTGGCACGTCCAAGGGGAGTTACCTTCTTGGGCTGGCACCAAGTACAGAAGGCCTTCCAAGTCTAGTCATAGATACGAATGGTAGCCGGTCTCCTGGCTGCTTGGATCGTCCGAATGACACCTGGTGACAAGCCCTTAGTCATCATTGAATGCCGCTCAACCTCCATGCAGTCAACTTGATCCACTGTGGGTCCAGATGTGACATGGCCCCTTGGAAGAGAGACATGTTGGAGAGGGGATCCTCCATGGGGGAGCGACAGGAGACAGGACAGAGACAGAAGATCCGCGAACCATAGGTGACATGGCCAGTGAGGCACTAGGAGGATTAACTCCGCCCTCTCCTCCAACAGTTTCCTAATGACCTGCAGGATCAGGGGAAACGGAGGGAAGGCATAAAGAAGGCCCTGCGGCCAGCAACATCTCAGGGCATCCCTCTCAACCCCGAGGTTGACAACGGGGACTCCGAACCATCTGGTCAACTCTCTGAAGTGGGTTGCATGGAGTTCCCACTCGGCCTCATCTACCTGTGATCAGCTCAGCCAATCTGCTATGATGTTGTCTGTGCCCGCGATGTGCTCTGCTCGCATGGAAAGATGAGTCTCAGTCCAGGACAGCAGCTGTTGAGCCTCCTTCATAAGCCGCTTGGACCAGGTTCCACCTTGCCAGTTGACGAGGGCCTTCACTATCATGTTGTCCATCAGGATTAACATGTGCTGTCCATCCACTGACTGCTGGAAACACAGGAGCCCCAGGAGAATTGCTTTCAGCTCCAGAAAATTGATTGTTCATTGTTTTTCCATGTGTCCACTGACCCTGTGC